TGGCGCGTCGCGTCGGGCCTCTCTCTCGCGCGTAAGTCGAGACAGTCACGTGACGCGGAAGCGTAGTATTTCCGAGTATTTACTACGCACTGTTTACTATTTTCGCGCGCGCGAGTTCATTCACCTCGCGTCAATGAACGTAAACAGACGCTTCGGACCCTCGTATCTCCGAAACTAGCCACCGCATCGACTTGAAACTAAAATCGCTATATCTCCGTAACTAATAAAGCTATCGACTTGTACAAACGCTCATTTTAAAGGGCATTTCATCCTCTATCCAATTAATATATCAATCATTATTATTTATGCTGTCTTCTATGTTTATTTTGAGATCTAACTTCAACGTAAGTAGAAATAATGATCAATGGGCCCAATCCGACCAATCTTGAAATTATCTTGAATGAAAAGCGCTAAAGGAAGAAACGTTGTCCTTTATTTTCGACTTATCTTTGAATGTGGAGTCACTCGCAATATAAGTAGCGCGTGAAAGAAATATTTGTTGCAATTACTATACCGTAGAAATTAGTGGCGAACCCTCGCGAAACGCTCGAAGCAGCTCGGATATCAATCTCGAGACCTATCCCACCTTTATCCGGCAACGAAGAATTCCCTAACGCTCGAGAGCGAAACCCTATTTCTCTTTCACTGATCACGAGGCACCAAAGCGTACGCTCCTTTCAATTACAAGACAAATGACTCTTTTGTGCTTTCACCTATATTCCAGTGTGCCGGTTAGAAGGATGCGTTCAGGCGCCTCTAACAAACGGACACCTCGCGATCGTAATAAATCAACGTGCAACCTAATTAACCGACGGCCCGGCCCATAGTGGAGGGTTCATTACCGCCGAGTACACTAATTACGTGAATCCACGACTGACGCGAGCTGAACCTAAGTATACCCGACCGTTTCACAGGCCGCGATTTCGCATTATATCGTCTTTGACTGCTGATCGTTCCATCAAATCCTTCCAATTAGGCCGCTCGTACCACGCCACCAGATTACTAGATATGGGGGTGGATGAATACCACAAGAGCCTATTCTTGTGCCCGATTGTCTTTTGAAAAGGGTTGCCTTTGCCCCAAACGTTTCACGTTCTAACGCGAATTACTATTTTTATTCGACCGTCGATGTATCGATCGTATTGATAGAAAAACATGGATTCGCGAAAGGATTAATTCGGGGCGCGGAGCTCGCGATCGAAGTTGAATAATTAAAACGACAACGTCGAGGCCGTAGAAGTTTGAGGGAGTCGAATCAGTTTCGCGACACGAAACGCGACAGATATTTCAATGTCGGGTCAGAGACGCGCGTGGAATATTCAATGCGCTTCGCGCTGTAAAATTGCACCCGCTTTATCAAAGTTTTTTGCAGAAAGCCGCGGCGCTAGGTTCCATTTACACGCTGTCTGCCGTTCGTTTATCGCGAGTGCCAATGCATGAACGCAATTTCGTCCGCGTAACTCGCTGATGCCGAGCGACGCGATACGGAGACAACGAATGGAAGAAGTTATATGAAGAAAGTTAAGCGAACGAGAACCGAGGGCGTTATCTCGCCCCCGGAACGGGTGCATTCGATTCCGGGGACGAGCAATAAACAAACACGACTGGCAAACAGGAGACCGGTGCACGCGAAACGATTCGCCGAGCGAAACATCGAAAACCCCGGGCATCGATTAATATGATAAAACCGGGGCCCCCGTCCCCGATATACGCCAACGTTAATTGTTCGGTCCGAGAGAGCGGGATGTGATTACGTTGATTATAAAACACGGTGTAATTTCGTCCCCGTAATTACGCGGTCTTTATATTCTGATCTGGGACCAACAAAGCGTCACGACGGAATTTACTCGTAATTGCGTATTCTGTGCCCGGTAATCGACCGTTTTCATTTTCTTTCCAATCGAACGACAAATTAGTAGAAACCTATAATACGATCGAATTGTACGAACGCATGGATCCCGTATTTATTATCGACTTTGCAGTCTCGACGGTGTTTTGCGCGCGATCAAAATTGCGATCGTTCCCACCGCAATTTATAATGGGAGTGTCTGACATACAATTTCGTATATTTTTAGCTCCGTTCGCCGACGGAAATTTTTTTATGGCATTATTGGAAAAGGAAGATCAGGGGTGGAACAATTTTGTTTCAACTTCGTGAAAGACCTCGAAGTAGCGGAATTTGAACGATCGGTTCGAAAATGGCGGTGCTTGAGAGAGCATCGCCCCGGAAAAATCGCTCGGGTCTATGAAAAGAAAGTTTCGAGTGTGAGGTAAGGAATCTTTGACGCGGAGGAAAGCATTTAATTAACGTCGCTGCAAAGAGAAGAACTGCTCGATCTTATAAAGAAATACGGCACGAGAGGAATCGCAATAGGCAGCATCGCTTTTCGCGAGGCTCGAATTCTACGCGGGAGATAAGCGAACCGTGATATATCCGGATGATTTGATAGTTAAGAAACTTTTTAGTCGGGAACTTAAAACTTCCACGGGCAGGCCGGAGTACAAGCAGTTACTCCGTACAGTTAAAGAGACCTTCTGTTTTTGACTGACTGGCTGAAAAGAAAAGTTTATCTGATCGTGATTAAAGAAGAGAAAAGTTATCTCCGTAATCCACGCACCGGACGGATATCTCGCGAAGCGCCAGAACAAAATTGGAGTGGCTGTAATAAGATTAGAAATTAAACTCGATCCACGGTCTTGTCCCGTCAGAATTCCCTAGATTTTTACGAAAATATCACCGTTGGTGTTAAATATCGATAATTAGAATTCACTTTCTATAATAAAATAAAAAACATCGATTCGATTGATTATTACTACGTGTTACACGTTTCGCTTCGGTTCCTTCTCCAAAATAACATTAAATTCGCGTTTCAAAGCACCGCAGCGAACCGCGTGACGGATTTGTCACACTCAGGCTGGACATAATGTAAAACAATTTCACATCGCACGTTGTCGCGCGATGCAATAAGTCAATTGTTTCGCACCGTTTACACAAAATGCTGTGCTGTGCTGCGCTGCGTCACCCCATAGACGAGGTATGGCATAAACATTGCATGCAATGCTTTTTTCCATCGCACACATACGCTTTCCAAATTCTAAGGTTTCACCTATTCGTTTAAAAAAAACCACTGGTTTCGTTTTCCACGAATTGATTCCTGTTAATATTCTTCGTATAGTCCTAAGAGAAGATGTTCGACTACCTTACGACACGTTTTATACATTTTGACATAAAGTATGAAACGTGCGCGTCGTAAACCATTCGCATTCCGATGATCTTAGTTTAATGCGATCGTTTACGTTGGAAACTCGCGAGGAACGAGGCCTGTGCGTTTTAATGATAGAAAACCCGAAGTTGAACTTTGCGGTACACGCTGTGTATTCGTTCTGCGCGTCAGAGAAGATTACCGCAGATGCTGGCTGCTACGTCCAACTACACAGTTCCCCGATACGTTAACTCTCTTCGCGATGATGACATAAGCGCGGAGCACTAGTCTGTCTTAAACTGCTGCGTCAAAATAGACGATGCAATAGCTCGAGGTGTCGAGTTCCATAACTTGTTACGCCCGGAGACAGGAAACGAATGAATCGTTTCGCGAGCGAATGCATCGCGGAACGCTGACGAATCCGATTACGAATCGTCGCGATGGCTAGAATTAAGCTCCGAACACCGAAACGGTTTATTCCGATGATGGATCAATTTTAATGCCGGCGATCATTACAATCCCTCTCAACTTTTCACTTCGCTTAATGTATCTACCCGTTCCGTTTCATATTTCATATTTCAGATTCGTTCCAAGCGAAACTTTATCCAATCTTTTATAATATATAATACCTACATTTTTACCGCCAGATCAAAAAGAAAACGAGTTGAAATAAGATTATCAAATTCCTACAAATTCGAAAATAGATTTCAAGCAAATCGAGGAAGAACGAATTTCGTTAACGAAAGGGAGCCCCGTCCCGAAGTCGACATGCACAACGGTCGCTAGGGGCAAATGTACTTTTACATTCATAATTTAGGCGGGCTTGAATGGCCTCGATTAATGCCCGGCATTAAATCAATTGCGCTAACGCGCGCCGCTGCATAAATACGGGAGGCTCGTTAAAAACAAAAATTAATGCCCTCCGGTAGCGTGGCGCTCGGTCGCGAAATTCGCGCGTTTCGGCCTGATCGTTAAGTACGCACCGTAACGAAATTATCGGTGCCCGGTCGAAATCGGAATTAACATCAAACGTGGGCCGATAGTATCGATCCGGGCGTTGCAAAAATTGCCAAACAGTTTGCGGCTGGGAACAATCGAACGTTGCGAGACCGAACGCGCACGATCTTCTCGTTCTCCCCTAAAAGTAACGTATTTCAAAATATCTCGCCCTTTAAAAACTACGTTGCAGTTGTTAACTTATTTTCTGCTATTGTAGAAGCAATTAAATCTAATGACAATCGATTAATAGGCTACCGGTTGTTATGCTACTCGGGAGCAGGGCGCGATAAGAACAGATAATGCATAAATCTCAGCAGCGAGTGCGTTTGATTGGATTCACGAACGGAAACGCGTAAATTTGGAAAAGGGGGTAACCAATTACGCGAACGATTCGTTCCATTGCGCGAAAAAGCCTCTGCAACAAAATAATCGAGCTAGGTAACGAGAAACGTCAATTTAACCGCTCGTGTCCGATCGGTCAATTGAACCGTTCCTATTCCGAGCGCGCGGAACAGCTTGAAAACGGTCTACACGCTGCTCGCGTAAATTGTCACCCTCGGTGCGTGTTCCTTTTCCATGCGAATCTGTTAGCGAGAACATGAAAAAATGCTCGCGACAATTACATCGCGATAGAGACCCGTCCATTTACTCTGCGAGTTCCGGAGGGGGAGGAAAAAAAATGTCATTTTTAACGCGTCGCCGATCTCCGCGTTTTCTCTACCGATTTTTACAAACAAAATTCCAGGATACCGTTCGATGACATTTTATACAAAAATAAGTGTACGATAAACGACTCACCGGACAGCTTGGACCTCTGCAAGAGCCATGTCTGCAGCGCCAGACGCTCCCTATGGCGACAGAAGAACTCTGGTCTGATACCGTGCCTCTTGAGGAACTCGTCGCACTTTCTGAACGCGGCCAGAGCCTTGGCGGCCTCGACCTCGTCGATGTCCGCGAGAACGTTCGGGCAGGAGCTGCGTCTCGAGGACGAGGAGCGTTCCTCGTACGTCTCGTCTGGCAGAAGCATACCCATCCCCGCGGGATAGGGTCTCCCCGAGGTCTCCACGATCCCCTCGTCTTCCTTTCGACAGCTGTCGTCGGAGTTCTCGCCGGTCTCGCAACTTCCAGCTCGCGGCACTCGTCCAAAGCACATATTAATCCCGGGCCCTTTGGCTCAGAAAAGCGTCCCTAATCGGCCGGGAAACGAGTCTCGAGCCGCTCCGCGAGCAAACTCTCACCCTTCTCCGCTTTTCTTCCTACGCTATAGCCGCGCGGACGAACAGTTAATATTCCGCGTCGCGGGCGACAGGCCGCTTCGCGAGTTTCGCCCCCCTCGACACAAGGGACTCCGCGGTCTTAATGAGACTTCATCGCGATTAATAGGAACCCGTCGAGGAGCCAGTCGCTCGAACCGCCCGGCTCTTACGCCACGCTAGACATCTCCGCTTCGGGATCGTTTCTCCGCGCGATCTTTGCCTCGCGCCACCTTCCACGCTCCCGACGACCGTTAATTGAATCGAATCCCTACCGATCGGTGTCTCGCCCGCGAGACCATCTTCGACAGCGGCTCCAAAGACGAGGCTTCGAGGACCGATTCCAGGTTACGTGGCTCGAATCCGAAAGCTCCGTTCGTCCTTGCGATTTCGCTTGATCCAGCCGCGGCCTTCGATCCCCGGCGATCCCGCCGCAAAACCACCGGTTTTCCTTGGTTTTCACCCGATTCGATGCTCCATGAGTCGATTTCGACCGTGAATCGATGGCGGCTGCGACCAGGACCGACTTTCCAACGGCGGTCCCTCGGCGTCGGGACGTCGTTTACGCTTCCACGCCATCCTCTCTTCGGGACGCGACCACCGCCTCTCCCTGAACCCTGAAACAAAATTCTCGTTACTCAACGTAGGATGCAGAATCGCGGGAGAACGAGACGAGTACCAATCGAGAAAGAGAGAAGAATTCTATAGCGAAGCACACGTTAAAAGTTGCATCGATAAAGGCAGATAATTATTATTCTCCTCGTAAAAGACTCGGGAGAATGCACTTAACAAAGACCGTGTACAGCCGTTAAATTCATGCCGACTCAATGAGGGATGAAATGCGGGGTGGATGTAATTTTTCTATGTCATAAAAAGGAAACTTCTTTTACGGCGGAACGGTAAAGAAACACGGTTATGGTTAATAATAGGAAGCCTTGGAATTCTCCGCGCGGAAATTGATACATTTTCCCGTTTACGAGACATCGAATAAAACAACAACACTCCGAGAGTTATGGGGGATATTCATGGATTATGGTAGACAGCGGCACGATTTAATAGCGCATTTCCATTTTAGAGGGCTGGCCAACAATAAACGTATTAACGGTTCTGTTACCACCACTACGATTAACAATACATATTTTCGCTCAACAGCTGTATTTTATCTCACACTGTATCCGCCCCGGAGCCATAACACCTTTATCTTCATTCGCGGAGCACGCTTAAGTGCTCCTCTAATTTTTGAGCGTGCACTCCGAAAGGCATCTGCACGACTTTCAGGCAACGAGCCAAAGGACTCGTTCCATGATTTCCGAGAAATGACTAGCGCGACGGACGGTATCGGCAGAATATAAGACGAGTCTAGAACATTAATTAACCAAAACACGCCGTCGATTTGGTCGCGAAAGAGTCGCGACAAGTGGCCGGTAGCGCTGACGATCATTCGACACGCGAACACGTCGGGGTTCCAATTAATCCTCCTTAATCGTCGATAAACATTGTCGTCGACAAGATCCTCTTCGATATTTTAAGCATCGCACACATCGCGACCAGACACATTCTCACTTTGACTAAAAATATTAAAATATTCGATCGTAGAACCGCGTAAGGCAAAAATAGTCCCTCAACCGAATCAATCTTTTATCTCGTGTGCCTATTTCTATATTTTGATTGACATTTAACCTTTGCTAGATCATATTAGGTGCCTTCACCCTGAATCTACCCCCTTTCTTCGAGGCTTCTGAGGCTCGAGATGCAACGGACGTCGCATGTAAACCTGAACAACGTCGAGGAATCGCGTCTAACGAAGGCAATGACGCAGACGTCGTCTCGTTATCGCGACGATGCATTCGTAGAAAACTCGGAACGAGCATCGTAACGCGTTCGCGATCGCTGTGAACGACGCTTAATGGGATGCATAAAGAGCGACGAAGCAGAGGGAAGAACGGTGACTCGACACGTGCCACCCACAGTGAATTACAGTATTCGCGATCAAGGATCCGCCGGCGACACGATCACCGGGGCCCCGGTAGTTGTATACACGAACCAAGATCGGAATTCTCGATCGGCCGGCTATCGTCGACACCGGGAAACCGTCCGTCCTGCCGAATCGATGCTTTCCTTTGCCTATCTTTCGCGAAATCTTCCCGACCAGTCGACCGAATCGTCGTGTTCCGCCGAGCAAACTGGGTGGCAATAGTCGAGCGACTCGGATAGCCGAGCTTTCAAGCCTCGTTCCGACGAGATAGGAGCCGTTTCTCGGTTAAAAAGAATCCCCCCCCTCGACCTAACTACGTTTTACGTAAACAGAGCTCATAAAGCAACGAGAAATTTATGCACGGCGTGAAAAGCTCGCGGTTATCGCCCGGGAGTCGGCGCTGTTATCTCTTGGGGGAAAAATGTTGCGGTTAGGTGGATTGCAAGCTTTTAAGGAGTGGATGAAACGAGCTCCAATTTGACGAGGTATTCCGGTCTACAAGGCCAATTTTTAAGCCCTTTTCGAGAGCTTTTCGCTGGAGAAAAAACCGTTGGATAAGAAACCGTTCTCAGACACGAGACCTTTAACTTTCGACGAGAGATCGTTTGTACGATGCGGGATTAAAACACGCATCGAGAGGTATCTCCGACTCTTGATAATTATGGCACACGACTAATCGTCCATCATATCCGTTCTCATCGTTATACGAGTCCGTCCCTTCGCTTTCGAAACGCAGCACTCGAGGCGACAGCGCGGGAACCTCGCGGTCGTTTGATAAATTTACGTCCGATGAGCTTAAAGCGCATTAGCGCGCAATATATTTAGCCTTCTTACCTTCCCGGACCCACTTGCTCACCGCCCAACGTCTGTTCGTTCGACCGCGATCTCTATCTTCGCTTCGTTACGACGCGCGACAGAAATTTCTGACCTACGGTCGATTCGAAATTCCGGATCTTTATCCTCCGACCCTGTTTCCAATGACGTCGATACACAGGTGAAATTCCCAGTGAATAGAACTTGTCAGACGTCGATGATCCTCGACTCGTACGACGACTTTCGATATTCTGATTCCCGACCGAACGAACGTGAATCGACCATGTCCAAATGCAGTTAAAGTGCATTTGGATAGACTAGTCTCTCTCGATATGAATCCGAGCTGCTTTTAATTCCATTCGATTCGAAATGCTCGATAGCTATCGCCCCGCTCTACAGTTTGAATCGAACACCGCCAATCTGAATGTAAAAATGATGGTCTCCGGGCTGAAAAGCGCGTTCGGCTCGATGCCAGAACGCGAGCCTTTTAAATCCAAATTATTTGTGGCCCCGATCGATTCGAAAATGTTCGCTTTAAACGAGTGTTCACTCGAAACCGACATACTTTATTTATTTAATGATCGACGATGGACGCCGGTCCCTACGTAACGATCGCGATTCCTCGCATCGATCATCGGCTACGTTTCGCCGTGACTACCTCGGATGGAAGGAAAGGGATGATTCAGAGGTTAATGTCGTCTCAAGGACGCTCGGGACGATCCTTCGATCCTCGTAAATCGATACTCCCGCGGCAGTAAAGAGCGAGGCAACGAGAGACACGCCAGCCATGCGAAAGTTCGTTTAACCGTTCCCTCGGACCGATGAGAAAGATTTACCTTAGAACGTAGGCCGCTCGCGATAATTTTATTTCGTCGGCCGTGTAAGCCGTTCGGCATATCCCTCGCGTGCGTGTAAGCCGCGTGTGTATCGCAACGGGCGAGCATATAATATGCAACGCGGGCACGTGCATCCTCCTCGTCCGAGCTACGCGCCAAGCACACCCTCTTATATGCGAATCGCAAGAGATACCGAGCCCAGGACGATCGCAAGGCTGAGGGAAGAAGAAGAAACTGGCGTGGAAAAACGAAAACAGTCGTTGCAAGGACGAATTTGGAAAAACTGAACGCTCCAAACCCCTTTGACAAACATTTTAATCGCCTGATATAGTACAGCTCTTTTTTAGTAATATTTTACTCTTTTTTTTTCATTACTAAGTTATTTTGCTACATTGCCTATGGTTGTGTTCATTAAAAATCAAAAACGAATTTTTCAGAAAAATCAACGATGGGTAGGTGAATTTTTGCTGAAATTTTTCGGCAAAATTGAAAAATTTCAAATTGTCCTAAAAAAATTATTTTTGGTGAAAGGAGTCAATTACAATCATTTTTGGTGAATACACATACCCTCAAAATCTTACGCACTTTCGAGAAAAAAATTCAGTACCGAAAATATGAAAGCTTAACTCCTGAACCTTGAAACCTTGCCCTATGAATCGTAGGGCGTTAAATTTAGCAGTGTGTGAAATATGACAAAGAACAATCGAACCTTCAACGACGTGCTCATCAAAGGCAAGGTGTAAAAATGCGAAAGGTGGAAACGTAGAAATAAAAAGCTCGGGGAAAAAACGGAGACAATGGGCCAGAGCTTGCCAAGGATGACTGGATAAAACGAAAAGTAGAAATCCTGATGGAGGGGGGGAACGTAGAACTTAACAGCGTGTATTTAAGAACGTACGCGTTACTCGGCTTTTAGCCGACGCGCTCGTTCAAGAATAACGCATACGTTCTGCGTACGGGCGAGGGCGAGTCTGTGATTAGGGGCCCGGTTGGGCCCTCGGGGCCTTATAACCGCCCACTACAACAGGGAGAAGAGAAGAACGGAGGGAACCAACGGCTTTCAGACTTCCTCGCGAGACCGCGTGGGAACGTATCGGCTCGTCTATCATCTTAACCTCCCTCGAACTCCGCGCTGCGTATTTCTCTGGGTTAGAGGAATGCGGCGCCACCCTCCCCCCTCTTACCCGCGAGCACACGGAATGATTATAAAGTACTTATCGCGCTGGGATCGTGTTACGGAGGCCGTTCGATCGGATTCACCCCGTCGCCTTGTCGT